ACACACACACACATACATATATACATACATACATACATACATACATACATACATACATACAATCACTATAAAAGTTCATGGGTTGTCTAGCCAAATATTCCAGCAATGTGTCTACATGCTTTTCATCAATCTGACATATTATTTAAATTTTCCTGTGCTCGTAGTAGTTAATATCCAGTCCTATCAGAGGATCTGTTTTATCAGGTCTGTATTCCAAATACTGCCACTGACATGCACCTAAAGTCATGTTTCCATGTAGTAAAATGAAGCTGTTTCCTTGCAGAGCAGCTCTGGAAGTCTCTAAAAGGCCCCAGAAAGTTTGATTTCTTGATGGTATTCCAGATTTCTTGCAAAACTACATAATTCAAAAACATAAAACCTCCAAAAACACCACAGTTCTGAGAAGCAAGAAGTAAATGTGCGTGTATATTGTTTGCTCTGCTTGAATCATAGCCAAAGTGTAGCCCTTGGATGGGAACTGTGAGAAAGAATCTTAAAACTGAATGCCAGTGCATCTTCAATCAAGTTGCATATTAAATTACATCTCCTCAATTAAAACTAACACTGTGAACCATCATAAAGCCCCAAAACTAAAAAACAAGAAGGCTTTAAAAAAAGATGAAAGTTATCAGATAGATTAAAATTATGCTTGTAAATGAAGTTAGACTACACGGCTGAATCAGTCAAGATCACAATTTACATTTCGAATGTGTTTCTCTTGTGAAGCGGCATTCTTGAAAATACAGACTAATTATTTGCAGATCATGACAACTGATCATAGAAGGATTTTTCTCAGTGTGAAGCATTTGCATTTTTCTATTGACATATTTAATTCTGTAACTTTCTCTAGGGCTAAAGATATAGAATATGGGGCTTACATTCTGTACCTATTGATAAAAGATATAATACTTCTTTTCTGTAACTGTTCATTGCAACACAGAAAGTGAGGGGAAAATGATTTACAAGATTGGATGATAAAGCTAACAAAAAAGTAATGCAACAAGTAAACTCTGTCATTTTATGCAAAGTTTCAAATTCTGTTCACACATAATCTATGCACAGTTGGCTGGCTGTGCAAAATCAAGGGGCAAATGATTCTTTCTGCCATTAATAGATTTAAATATAGATATTTTGAATGATGCAACCACTCAGTCTGGATGGGATGACTGAATCAATGAAATACACCATCTAGGAAATCTTTCAGGCCATTATGGTCAGAAAGTAATTGTGCCCTTATAATGGGATTGTGCCTATGGCTATTTCTCACCCTCCTCCTTATTTCTGCATACAGCTGCATATGTAGTTTTTTTTTTTTTTTTAATTTGCCCACAAAGGCTGAGTTTGATAGTAATGCTGACAAATATCTGAACAGCTGTGAAGCTTTTTTGTTAGTGACAAATGCATTTGTCATGGATCAGAGGTACATTGTTTTGGCAATGGAAATACACCATAAATCACATTTCAGTGTTAATCCTAGTTTGAACAAAAGTCTTTCAGGAGTACAAAGATTTAAAACAATGGTCTAATATGGGAGCTTTTTGGAACTTTAAAAGATTTTATATAGAGGTAAATGTCAAGAAAGGGCATAGGTATATAACAAGTTGAATCTGTGAAACTACTATTGTGCTGGAAACCTGGATGGAAACAAATATATGGAACAGAAGCTATGTCACAGGAGGGTGGTATAGAGAAATACATCTGCAGGCTGATATGGAACAGAGCCAATTTTACAATTAAATAGTCTCTTCCATCACTTGCTTCTATGAGGCTTTGATATTTCTCCAGGATTGTTCCATTCTCATGAAGCAGGTGTTTGGAAGGGTAGACTCAGTAAAACATCACTTCCATTGTTTTTTTGTCAACCTTGTTTACTTAGAGCACCTCTGCCTTCTGCTGTTGGTTTTTTGTGTGCCTTGGATGATGTATGGTGGGGCCTCACAATGACACAAGCACCATATGCCATCATTGTTCCATATTAAATGCAGTCTCTCCATATGATAGGGCCCGTGGAATAAAACAAGAACAAAGTCTTAAGGTTGTCCATGATAAGGAAAATGGAATCTACCCAATGTAACTTAAGATATGACTGCATAGAAATTTCTCATGCATTTTTAAGAATATATTGGAGATTTAGGATGAAGGGTTATAAAAAGGCACAGGATGGTGTGAACTCTCCCATTTTTCCTACAATGCTTCCCAGACCTCACAATTCCAGATAAAGAAATGAATGTTTGTCTTAGGCACTGATGCTAATTTTTTTTGTATCTCCTTCTATAATCTATACTCTGCTTTAAATAGTTCTCAAAATGAGGAATGCATTCATTATAACCTGGAAGAAATTTTTAGACACAGACACAGGCCTTCAAGGTAGTTGTTCCTATAAAAACTGCAGGTATTTGTCAATCTAGCAAGCAAATAACTATGTATTGTCATCTTTATCATCACCATCTTGTCATAGCTCCTTCCTTCCTTCCTTCCTTCCTTCCTTCCTTCCTTCCTTCCTTCCTTCCTTCCTTCTTTTTTGCAAAGTTATTTATTCAGTTTATATTCCAGCCTCTTTTGAGGAGCTCATAAGAATGTATATACAGTACATATGTATGTATGTATGTACATATGTTGAGCATGAAACTGAGCCAACTCAGGGAGGCAGTGAAGGACCGGAAGGCCTGGCGCAATATGGTTCATGGGGTCACAAAGAGTCGGACACGACTTAACGACTAAACAACAACAAATGTACATATGTATGTATGTGTGTATATATATACACCAGGTGTTCTCAAAGTATGGCCTGAGGGCTGGATATGGCCTGCCAGGGTCATTTATCCAGCCCACCTGCCTGATTGGCCACCACTGCTGTCTGTCAGAAGCAGAAGTGTCGGGGCTTTGTCAGGAGCTGCACGTGATGCACGAGGAGGGAGATCGCAGAACCGGACTATTCTACATGACAGGTATGCCGGGTCTGACGGCTCTCCTCCTCTCCTGTTTTTTTCAAACTATAGTTCGGCCCCCCAACATTCTGAGGGACCATGAACTGGCCCCCTGTTTAAAAAGTTTGAGGACCCCTGATATATACAGTATGTGTGTGTGTACTTCCAAAATGCCTTGCCAAGAAAATTGCAGGGATTTGTCCAGGCAGTCACCAGGAGTCAACACTGACTCAAAGGTGTATGTGTATGTGTATGTATGTATGTATGTATGTATGTATGTAT